CTCCTGACGGGCCTCCTTATAGTCCACCCTGGATGTGATGTGCCTCCTGAAACACAGGTTGGCAGGCCTGCCCCTAACACTTGAGAGCCAGCGAAGAACATGGATGGAGGCCCACACCCTGTGTCTAATTTCTGAAAAGTTATAAATCAGCTCAAGCAACCGATAAAAACAAGAAACAAACAGAAAAGTTGGCTTTTTTCTTTGCAAAAACACAGTCATGAAGATTTGGAGCATCAGGTTCCAATTTAGAATTTCCAGAGTTCTTAGTCTTACCACACTGGCCATGTGGGGAGAGCCAACACCACCCCAGCCCCCTTCTCTTCCCATCTATTTCCATCTGGCACCGTAAGCGATTTTGCACTCATGCATGTGGGCGTCTCTACTTTCTAGCAATTAGCCACTCCTTGACTCTAAGGTACAAGAGGCTGGTGCAATGTGTGGGCTTGGGAACATGTAGGTGGTGAAGCCCAGGACCCAGTGCAGGCTAGAAGGGGAAGAGGCTCTAGGAAGACATTTCTCCTTGTCCACATGGAGATGTCCAAAAGCAGAGCTCAGAGCAGAAGTCTTGTGCCCCCAAGACGAAGCCCAAGGCCCCACACCACGTGTCCTTGTCTTCACCTGACCCTGACCCAGCATTAAGTCTAGTCCTTTTATCCCTAGAACTCATGCTCTGTCTCCTGACCCTGGGACCCACCTGATGTATGTTGATGGGAAACATGGGTAGAACTGATCCTGGGAGCCACCAGCCACAGGAAAATGCAAGCATAGCTTGGCCAGCCCCTGCCCAAGCCCTTGTGGGGGTGAGGGTGGGTGGAACAGCTTAGACAGAATTAGGGTTAATTCTCAGGAACTTGTTAGACAATTGGGGGATGTGAAACACAATAGGAAAGTCAGTTCACGAACCATGGCCTACGTTCTCTCTGTTTCCCAGAAAAGTGCTTCTGTTTTGGGGAGTAGGAAGGGCCCTGGAACAGCTGGGTTGGGGCCTTGGGCCACCAACTGGGTTTCTAGGATAGTTCCCAAGTGGGCTCTGGGAGCAGTGACCTCCTGGATGGTAAAGGAATATATAGTGTGTTGGGGATTTATGCACATGAACCGGTGATCCTATAAAGATGGGAAGGCCTGTGTCTAGTTCCAGGCACAGTGAGTCCAGTTTTCAAGGTGGGGACATGGGCTGAGGAGCCAGCTAGTCTGGAGCCAGGGACAGCAAAGCTGAGGGTGTGCTGTCATGCAGCCTCCAGCCCTTCCTCAAATGGTCCCCACTCTGAGTAACTACCTGTTTTCCAAGTCTCTCTGCTAGCAAGAGTGAGTCATGTGGAAAGGGACCAAGTGCCCTTGATGTCTGTTCGAATCTTGCTCTAAATTGTAACTCATATGATTATTTAAAGTCACTAGAAATGAGGTAGGCACAGCAAAAGTTTTAATGGAATAGCTTTGGCCCAGGCAGAGTCAGTTCCCAGGTGTCTCAGGATGTGCGTGAAGCCCAAGAATCTAAAGGCATACTCTGGGCTCCTGGGATCCACTTCCCTGAGCATAAGGGCTGGTTCAGGTCTTGCCCAATCAGGCTCCAGCAGCCAGTCCTCTAAGTAGAGGGGCTTCTTGGCTTCCTCCTCAGGATTCAAGGCACTGTTCACAGGGACACCCCCTAGACGCTGATTGGAATAAAAGGGCCGGCCTGAGCAGGGATGAGGGCCCAGGCGGGAAGAGCAGAGGAGGCCAGCCCAGAAATCCTTTTACCCAGCGGACAGCCCTCTAATCCGGTTGGGCAGGGGGCGGGGCGTCACACACAGGATTCTGCGATGGCTGTTACCGTCTCCAGGGCACCCATCTGTGCGGAGACTGGAGCGGCGAGGAAGCCCTGCGACCCCCTCGGGAGCAGTGCGAAGCCCAAGTCGCGTGCCTCGATCCCCCATGGTGTCACCTGCATCCCCTCCAGCTGGGTCTGTCCCGGGCCAGTTCAGGGCAGGGCGTGGTCCCCGCCAGGTCGCCTCCCCTTCTCGATGCGCGCTGGGGACATAGCCGGGAAGGCCCCCGATCCCACCCCCATGCCCACTGACCTCGGGTCGGGCGCCCCCTCACCTGACGCTCCCGCGGCGCGGCTCCCCCGCTGAGCCCGAGGCGCCCAGGCCCACCGAGCAGTGCAGGGCGGGGGAGGGGCGGACGCCGCTCGCGCACGCGTACTGGAGCCCCTGCGCCTCCAGCCGCGCCGCCGGGGCCTGCCCCTGTAGGCGAGGGCCGAACCAAAGGACGCCCCAGGCCCGAGGTGTTGGGGGTGGGGGAGGGGGGGGAAGTAGAAGAGCCCGCGACCCCGCCCCTCCTCGCGTTCGAAGCCGCGGCAGCACCTCGGACAGCGCCGAGCACCACGGGGCCGCGGTGCACCTCTGCCGCGCACGCGCATTCGGCCGGCGCGCTCTTTCGGTGGCGCGTGCGCAGCGATGCGCGGCCCGGGCCACAGCGGTGAGGGGAGAGAGGGCGGGACCTCGGCGGGGCCAGGGGCACCAGCGGCCGCTAGCCTTCCTGCCTGCGGCTCAGGGCCGCGAGGCGGCGAGCAGCAGCGGGGCCAGGTCCATGGTGAGGGCGAGGCGGCGGCCTTGCCAGCGCACGTGTGAGGGCAGCGCGGGCGCGCCGGGCGGGTACTCGAAGCAGGCGCTAAGCTCGAAGGCTAGGGCGGAGCGCACCAGACCCACGCCGCCCGCTCGCTCTGGCGCGGGGTGGTAGAGGCGGCCGTTGGCGGCCAGAGGCAGCAGACGCGCCGGCTCGAAGGGCACGGCCAGGGCCTCACCGCCGCCGCAATAGGAGAGACGCGGGGGCCCGGAGCCCGAGGCCAGCAGGTGCGTGAAGACCACCGGCCGGTCTTCGCAGCGCAGGAAATTGCGCTCTCTGCCGCAGGGCGAGAGGAAGGGGAAAGAGGCCTCGTAGCGACCGCTGTGGTTGGGTCTCAGGCGGGAGAAGAAGGTGACCAGGAACTGTGGGTCTGGAGGAGAAGGACACGGTTGCTTACCATGCCACGCTACCCTACCCGGGGCCCTACTTCCCCAGGCAATCGGCGCGCCCTGGGCAACGCCACGGGCTGGCGCCGGATGTGGGCACACCATCTTGGCCTCACTCTAGACAGCAGGGCTCATGAGCACAGGATGCCCAGTCCTCTGCTTCGGACGGGCCAGTCGGCAGGCTGGGGAGCAGAGCCCACCAGGGCCTTGCCGAAGGGAGAAGAAAGGTGGGGAAGAAGTTGCACCGGTACCTTTGAAGCAGGTGATGAAGTTCTTCATTTTGGAGTCATCCAGGAAAAGCTGCAGACAGAGGGGCAGGCCGTGGCCCATGAGTCCCAACTGGAAGCCCGACAGAGTCGGCCCCAGGGCGGGGAGGCTTGGGCAGGCCTGAGCCGGGGCCAGTGTCCACTCTCCTTGCGCTCCTGTGCACGCCGTGTGCAGGGAGGCGAGTGGAAAGTAAACCTGGGGACCCTGCCAACATTCCTGCATCTATCCCGCACTCGGGGCCGTGCGGGTTCCTGAGCTGCCATGTCCTCCCTGTACCTCTCCCTTCCTCCTTAAAAGTTTCTAATCAGATGTGCCACCTCCTCCGCGGAGGCTCCCGGACCTGCTTCCTCCCGGATATGCTGGATGATTCCCCTGCCAGGGCTTGCAAAACAGGCAGGGCGACCCGAAGCTGGGGATCACAGGGTCGGGCAGGATCTGGGGATGCAGAGCGCACGAGACGCAGTAACGTGTGGCAGGTTGGCTGCTGGGGGGGCGGGGCGGGGGGCGACCCCTCTCGGGCTGAGACCGGGCGCCCCAGGCGGTCCAACTCTCGGTCCCACCTCAGCAGTCAAGTTCTCATTCTTTAGAGACCCCGCCCACCCATCCGGCCCCGCCCCTCTCACAGGCGCCCCCT